GGTGGCCGCCGAGAGCGGGGCGTGGGGCCGGCGCGGTGCGGGCGGGAGCGAGGTGCGAGGGCGCTGGCCGCTCTCGGGGTCTCGGGGACCCGGGAGTGCCGCGGGCCGCGCGTGACGGGACGGACCCGGTCGGCGTGGAAGAGCCCCGGAGCGACGGGGCCTCCCCGGGGCCGAAGGCAGAAAGCCCCTTTGTGGGCAGGAGCTAGTCCTGGTCGGGGTGGAAAATGTCACCGTGGGGAGGACGGCCCCCGTGTTCCGAGTGAAGTTCCCGCGGCAGGCAGTGAGCACCGGGCCGGGCAGTCCTTACTGAAAGGAGGGCAGCAGGCCGGGGCAGGCAGCCCTTTGAGAGGGGGCGCCTAGGTGCCAGGTGGAGGAGGGAGGTGCCTTCCCGCATAGGAAGAGACCCCAGGGTCAGAGGTGAAAGGTCGCCGTGAGGCGCTGCACCCAGGGGCGCAGAGATGGGCGGTGGAAGCCGCTTGGAAGGGGTGGGCCCTGCGGGAAGGGAAGCCTCGAGGATGCTGGGGCTGGGGAGGGGCAGCCAGCCTGACAGTCTTGGGTGTGTTGGGGTCCCAGAGCTGCCCAGCGGGAGGGGGATGTCTAAGTCAGAGGCAGCAGCAGGTAGCCCCATTTAGGGGGGCATGGGGCACCAGTTGGGAGTGGGTGGCAAATGAGTCCTTTTGCCTTCTGGGTACTTGGGCAGTCCGCAGGGGCTTTAGGAATGAGCCAGAAACTGCGGTGGAAGAGGGGGTGCTGGAGGTTGGAGCTAGAGGAAGGGGGAGTAGGGGTTAGAAGCCCACTTCCCCAGCATTTTTCTGTTCCCCAGAAGCTCCAGAGTTGGGGAGGAGGGACTATGGCTCTAGAGGAGTGATGAGTGAGCAGGGAGGGGGCGTTGGGAAGGGGGACCTGGGGCCTTGGACCCTCCTCTCCTCCCTCCTCCCTGGGGCCTGGGCCCTGCCTCTGCCCGCTCCAGAGCTCAGGCTCTGTGGCTGGAGCTCTGGCCACTGGGCCACTGCCCTGCACTCAGCCAGGACAGGCAGACGTCCGCCTCCCTGCTCTGGGACTCCTGGCCGCCTTCCTTGTGGCGAGACAGAAGCTGGTGCTGGGTGGGGCCGGTGGCCTGGGGGGCTGTTCCCCTCCACCTGGCTTTGCTCCTGAACCCGCTCCCCGTGCAGGCCCCCGCGGTGGAGCCCCGTGGTGTATGTGTGGTAACACCATGTCTGTGCCCCTGCTCTCCGATGCTGCCACTGTGTCTGGAGCTGAGCGGGAAACGGCCGCGGTAAGGTCCCCTGAGCGGGGCAGCCCCCAGGCCAGGCCCGGTGCGGGCCGTAGGAGGAGAGCAGCCTGAAGCCGGGGGCACAGGGTGGACAGCACACCTGTTTGGTCGCTGCCTCAGTTTCCCCAGGTCGTGGGTGGGGAGGGTGGGCAGTTGGAAGATCTGGTGGGGGACTTCCCATCTCCCTTTTCCAGGTTATTTTTTTACATGGACTTGGAGACACGGGGTGAGTGAGCTGGGGAGGGGCGGCCGGCGGGCAGGGCTGGGAGGCGGCCCTCTTCCTGCATGGTGCCTTTCCTCCCTCCCCTCCCACAGGCACAGCTGGGCTGACGCCCTCTCCACCATCCGGCTCCCGCACGTCAAGTACATCTGTCCCCATGCGTGAGTGTCTCGCCCCAGTAGGGGAAGGGCTGGGGTGGGGTGGGGGCCTGTGGTCCCGGCCTGTGCTCTCTCCCGGCCAGCTGCACCCTGGAGCTTCATCTCGGGGCAGGCACGGGTGCTGTCTCAGCCCCTATGGAGCCCTCGAACATGGTCCAGCACCAGCCCCCAGCCCAGGGCCTCCTAGAACCAGGACCTCCCGATGCGCCTTCCCGAGTACTCACCGCCCGAGCACGACCCCTTCACACAGTCTGGGCTCTGCTGCTCCTTGCTCTCTGTCCTCCTCTCTGGTGCCCCAGCCTCTAGCCCCACGTGGCAGGTTGCCTGGCAACACCTTAAACACAGACCGGCCTGCTGGGAGGGCCCAGGCCTGCTCTGGCCCCTCCTGGGCCCTCTTCCTGGCTCTCTCCTGGCTCCTGAGCCTCATAGCACTCTGGTTACCCCTCCCCAGGCCTAGGATCCCTGTGACCCTCAACATGAAGATGGTGATGCCCTCCTGGTGAGTTTGGGGGGAACACATGTGGAGGGAGCAGCAGGGGCCTGGTTGGGGCCTTCGGTGGCTGCCAGTGTCTCTGCTCCCTCAGGTTCGACCTGATGGGACTGAGTCCAGATGCCCCAGAGGACGAAGCTGGCATCAAGAAGGCAGCCGAAAACAGTAAGGCCCAGCCCTCCGCGTGCCCCGCCCCGCCCCCAGAGAGCGGGGCTGTGCCTGTGCACCTCCCCACCAGCCCCTGCAGCCCCTCCCAGTCACACCTCCTCCCCCCAGTCAAGGCCTTGATCGAGCATGAGATGAAGAATGGGATCCCTGCCAACCGGATCGTCCTGGGAGGCTTTTCACAGGTGAGAGGAGAGAGGGCAGGGGCCGGTAGGGGAGCTGTGCCCTTGTGACCCCTCACCTGGCCTTCCTCCAGGGCGGGGCCCTGTCCCTCTACACGGCCCTCACCTGCCCCCACCCTCTGGCTGGCATCGTGGCGTTGAGCTGCTGGCTGCCGCTGCACCGGGCCTTCCCCCAGGTGAGTGTCCCCACAGGCGCCTGCTGCCCTTGGAGTCTCCTTGTGGCTCGGGCAGTGCTGGCATCATGGCCTCTGCATCGTGTCCGGCCCACAGGCAGCCAACGGCAGTGCCAAGGACCTGGCCATCCTTCAGTGCCACGGCGAGCTGGACCCCATGGTGCCCGTACGGTTCGGGGCGCTGACGGCCGAGAAGCTCCGGTCTGTCGTCACGCCAGCCAGGGTGCAGTTCAAGACATACCCGGGGGTCATGCACAGTTCCTGTCCGCAGGTCAGTGGGGTCCTCCCCGTCCCCGCCTCTCCAGCCTCCCTCCAACGTCTCACAGCCCCCTACCCCCCAGGAGATGGCAGCCGTGAAGGAGTTTCTAGAGAAGCTGCTGCCTCCAGTCTAACCAGAGTTGCTGGCTCCCAGCGCAGTCCCCCAGCTCACAGGGGACCCAGCAAGCAAGTGCGGCACCATCTGGGACCTGAGCCGGTTGAGCCCCTGTCCCCACCCTTCTGACCCGTCCTCTTCCCACAGGCCTCCGGGGCAGGCGGCTGAGGCCTGGCCGGCCTTCCCTCCTGGCCTCGCCACCTGGCCCTGTCTGGAGGGCCAAACAGGAGGAAGAGCCCAGCCCTGGCCCATTCACTCAGGACCTCACTCACTAGCCCCGCCTTGGGCCCCCACCTGTGACCTCAGGGTTTGGCCCATGGGGCCCTCCCAGGCCCCACCCCCCATGCCCCAGCCCAGATAATCGTGGTCTCCTGCCTCCACCCCAGCTGCTCCCCAGGCTGAATGTGCCCAAGGCCCTGGGCCTGGGCTGCTGTGGGCCGCCCGCCCTGGGTAGGAGTGTCGAGGAGGGGGCCGTCCCTCAGCTGTTCCCCCTCCCTTGGGGGCTGGGCCCTGCCTCCCCTGCAGGCCTGGAGCCTGCAGGGCTGGACTGAGGCTCAAGGTCTCCCCCAGCTGTCTCACCCCCACTTTGTCCCCACTCTAGGGCCAGGGAGGTGGTGGGGAAGGAGCCATGTCTCGTCTTCTGTCTCCATGTGGTTTTGAGTGTTTTTCTCGTTGTCCTGGATTCTGATGAAATTAAAGAAATTGCTTCAACTCCTAGGCCCGGCTAATTGTGTTCTAGGGGTAGAGAGTGACCATCTGCGAGACTGCCCAGTGCAAGGGAATTTTTATTGTACGTACTTTGTAAGATTAGCAGTACAGATGCGGGCTGGGCGGGGCAGGAGGTGGTTGTGACGGGGCCCTGCCTCCCGCCCTCGCTCCTGGTGGTCCTGATGCTTCCTGGAGCCCGTGGAAGACAGGGGAGACCCTGGCTCCTGGTCAGCGGAGCCCTTGGCCTCATGCCTGTGTGCTGAGCGGGCCCAGCTAGGGTGTGAGGTAGGGAGGCCTTGGCTCGGCCCGGAGGTTCCTGGCGGAGGTGGGCAGCAGGCGGCTGCTGCTTTTCCTTTCATGGTCCATGATAGGGGAGGGCCTCAGGCCTGTGCGCCAAAGCCCAGTGGGTTCTGCTTCTGCCAGCGCCACAGATCTTCACCTGCGACGGCATGGTGGTCAGGGTCTGCCATGGTGTGTGGGGCCTTCCCCCCTTCGCCACCGGCAGTCCAGGTGAGCAGGCGCCCAGACCTGGTTAGCCCTCCTAGCTGACTCCCGGCTTAGGCCAGCACTCACACATCCGGTCCAGCCCTAAGGCTGCTGTCCAGCCCAGCTCCTCGTGGGCCAGCCTGGGGTCAGCGTAGCAGGCAGCCACATCGCCTTCCCGACGCGCTACCACCTTGTATGGGATCTGCGAGAGGAGGCAGGCAGATGTCACAGCTTTGCAGGTCGGCCTGGGCCCTTGTCTGTCCAGTTGCCGGATGGAGGAGCACCCACAGGCACTTAGCACTGAAGCGCAGGGCTGCCGAGGTCGGCATGTGTGGGCCGGCGCCCTCTGGTAGGCAAGTCGAAGGGCCCAAGCTGCCCTGCTCCAGAGTGGCAGTAGGTGTGTGGCCTACCTTCTTCCCCGAAGCCTTCTCCATGGCCCGGACCATCTGCAGCACCGAGTAGCCCGTCCCTGTGCCCAGGTTGTAGATCTGCCGGGAGGTGGGGAGAGAACAGGGCTGGACTTGCCGCTCCCCTGGGCCCCATTTGCCCAGGAGTCTATCCCTGCCCTCGCTCGCTCCTCCCTACCCGGCAGCCACACTGCTCCTTCAGCTTCCTCAAGGCCGCAATGTGACCTTTGGCTAGATCCACAACATGGATGTAATCCCGGACGCCTGCAGAGGAGGAGGTGGTAAGTGGGGAGTCGTGTATCTTAGTCGCCCTCCAGGCTCCACTCCTGAGGCCTCTCTGGTCCTAAGCTCACCTGTGCCATCCTCTGTGTCATAGTCGTTTCCAAAGACATTCAGGGCCTCCCGGCGCCCAATCGCCACCTGAAGGCGGAGGCAGGTCAGTGCCTCTAGCACTGCTGGGACCTGGGGCTGCAGCCCTCTCTGCCCCTGCCCGTCCTTACCTGGGAAACGTAGGGCATGAGGTTGTTGGGGATGCCCTGGGGGTCCTCGCCGATGCAGCCAGAGGCGTGGGCCCCTGTGGGGTTGAAATAGCGCAGCAGCACTGCGTTCCAGGCCTGTGGGACATGGGGCAGAAGGGGGACCAGGACAGCAGGTCCCTGCTGAATCCAGAGCCCTCAGCCACACCTCCACCCATTTCTACCTCTAGAAATGAGCAGGGCTGGGGACCTCCCAGCCAGAGCTGTGGCGACCCCTGGAGCCTTAGCTTCTCCCTTGGTGGGGGTCTCAGGGGAGTGAAGGAGTGGAACCAGGGCTGGGTCAAGAAGGACCTTACCTTGTCCGCCTGGCAGAGGTCCCGGATCATCTCCTCGATGAAGAACTTGGACTTGCCATAGGGGTTGGTACAGCCACCCGTGGGGTGGGCCTCGTCCAGAGGCAGGTACTGGGGGGTCCCATATACGGTGGCTGAGCTGCTGAACACCAGGTTCTTCACCCCGTGGGCCCGCATGATCTGGCCACGAAGGGGGCGTCAGGGGTCGGCCTCGTGCGGTATGTCCACCCCATCCCCCCACCCCGTCTGTCCTCTGCAGGAAAGTGGGGCTGCGGGTACGGGCACACTCACGGGCATGCTCAGCCACAGACGGGCAAACGGGCTAGGGTAAAGAAAGATGTGGCCAGGATGCCACAGCCTGGGCCCTGATCTCCCCCAGGCCCTCACTGGCCATGCCTAGCACTGCCTGCCAGATGGAAGCCTGGCTCTGGTGGAGTCCCCGCCCCGCGCTTACCTCCAGCAGCTGGATGGTCCCCGTCAGGTTAACTCTGTAGTAATCCAGGGGCTTCTGAACCGACTCGCCCACGGCCTTGAGCCCCGCGAAGTGGATGACGGCCATGAAGCTGTGCTGCAGGGCAAAGTGGGCTTAGAGGTTGCTTTATGGGCTCTGGCCTTTGGCAGTGACCCGCTGCCTGCCAGGCACCCACCTTTTCGAAAAGACGCCGGAGGGCTGCCTGGTCCAAAATGTCCATCTCCTCAAACTCCACAGTGCGGCCCGTCAGCTCCTGCACCCGCCGCAGGCTCTCGGGCATGGAGTCCCCTCCTGGTGGGGCACACAGAGCCGTCCAAATCAGGAGTGGGGTTCTGGGTTCCCAAGGACTAGCCAGGGCCGCAGGCGACCCTCGATGGTAGAGGTGGAGCCCCAGAGGCCCTGGCCCCCGCCCTGCTCACCGCGGATGGCATTGTGGAAGTTGTCGACCACCACGGGCGAGTAGCCCGCCTCCAGCAGCTCCAAGACCGTGTGGCTGCCGATGTAGCCAGCCCCGCCTGTCACCAGCACCTTCTCCGCCATCGCACCTGGCCCAGGACACAGTCTCAGGTGGCTGCAGCTGCCGGCTGGGCCTCCTTCCCGCTGGGGTCAAGGGAGGCTGCAGTGTGTCCCTCCCAGCTACGGGGTGGCTCTGGGTTCCATCACTTTGGCCTGAGGCTTCAGCGATCACTCACTGTCCTGGCCTCTGTCCACCTTTAGGAGACAGGAGCTAGTAACTGCGCGGCCAGGTGGTGTGAGGGCCGCATGGTCTCCCGCAGGACAGGAGGGGAGCCTGGCAGCGGACCCGGGTGCGGAGATGGAACTGGAGGAGTGGCACTTGCCTCCCCCTGGTGTCGGACTGGAGAGTCCAGGGCAGCAGGCTGGGCACCCAGGATCCCAGGAAGGGCTGAGGCGGGCTCCAGCCTCTGCCATGTCTAGGTGGGAACTGGCTCCTGGGCGCAGGGGAGTACCTCCTGCTCCAGCAGGCAGCCCCTGCCCTTCCCTCCGGGTCATCTGGGTGGAAGCAGGAAGTACACCCCATGGCCTCAGAGGTGAGTCCTCTGCCAGGGAGGAGGCTGCTGGCTCTGGGCCTTGCACCACAGTCCTGGAGGCCCCTCTACCCCAGGCAGCTAGGCCAGCTCACCTCTGGTCCGCCAGTGCCCGGGCCAGCCCCACCACTCCCTCCTGGAGCTAAGGATCCGTTCTGGGTCGGCCGGCTGAGACGTGGCCTTGGCCGAGTCTACCGCCAGGTGTGCACCTCCGCCCTGGGCAAACCGCGGGAAGTGAGGGCGGAGGGGGTTGGGAGTCCGGGACAGTGAGGCCTTTCATTCCCGGAGACCTGGCCCGCTGCCGCCTTCCGCCAGGCTGCTCAGTCCCCTCGGCTCATCCAGCCCAGCCCATCTGACGGCGCCCGCTGCGTGCCAGGCCACACGAGCACTTCTGTATTACTGTCCCGACCCTCCCAGCATCGGGACAAGGTAGCTATCACTGGCGCTTGACGGAGAAGCAGCGCTGGGTCACAGCTCCGGACAGCGGGCCAGGAAGGTGGACCTCCGGGCTCGCAGTCCAGCCCCTCTCCGCGAGCGGTCCCGACCCGCCCGGCTTCCTGCTGGAGTCCGCTGACGCCGCAGCCGCCCCCCCAGCCTCCCCGCCGAGCCCCGCGCGCTGTGCAGCCTCCGGGGAAGTGCCGCCGAGGGGCTCTGGAGGCAGGGAAGGCTGGTCTGAGGCCGGCTTCAGCCCGGACCTGCGGGGTAACCTCGGTCAGCTGTGGCCTCCTCAGCGCACCCGGGTGTGACTGGGCCGCGGGCAGGGCTCTGGACCTCGGCTCGGAAGGAAGCCGAGCTAGAAGGTGCAGGCCGAGAATGAATGAACCCGGCTGCCCCAGCCCAGGCGGCGGGCAGCAGGAGCAGAGGGGGCGGGCCTGCCTAGCGGGACTCTGCCCGGAAGGGCGCCCGGGCCCTGCTGAAGCGTCCCCGTCTTCTGCAGACCACCCGGGCCCTCCCGATCCCACCCGACCCCACCCGACCCCACATCCCAGCTCCCGAACCTGCTCGGGTCCCGCGCCCAGCGTTGGCTCCAGCGGCGCCGCCTCCCGCGGCCAGGGCGGCGGTTCCTTTAAGGCCTGACAGCCCATCCCGATCCCGCCCCCTCCACGCCCCCAAAAGAACGTGTCACTTGAGCACCTCCACTACGGGAGCCGGCTGGACCAAACGCCTGCGCGGTGTTCCGGCGGCTGCGTGATGCACCGGCAGCAAGGGCGGAAGTGGGCGGGGCCGCCCCGGGTGGCCGGCAGGGGACCGGCCTGGCTCCGCTGTTTGCTGAAGTCCGGGTCCCCGTGCACGCCCCGGCGCGCGCCCAGGCAGGGCGGAGGGCAGGGCGCGGCGAGCCGGCCCGCGAGTTCCGGCCCCACCCTAGGCCTGCAGGGACTTTCGGTGTCTGCCAAACTCTCAAGTCAGTTTTGCCTGAAATATCCGACTCCGTGGAACTGAGGCCACAGGGGACTACGGCGCCGGTGACGGGAATGAGCGGGTCCGCCCGAGGTGGCTCCGGGAAGCCGTTTAAAATGAATCGAGGAGCTGGAGGAAGCCGAGGCTCTCCACCCACAAGCCGCGGTCCCCAGCGGCGGGAACGGTGTGCACCCGGCCTGCCTTGGCTTTCGGTTCATAGAAGGCTGGCTGGAGCACTCCGTGCAGTCAGGGCATTCCGAGGGATTCGCCCGAGGAACAGCAAGAAACCCACGGCGCTGGGTCCCCGCTGCGCAGTGCCCCGGGCCACAGATAAGCTTCTAGGCTGCAGCCGGAGGCCACCCTGCCGGCCTAGAGGAGCCTGGGCCGAGGCAGCTCTGCCCTGGGGGAGCTCGTGCACCAGCGCTGGTCTGAGTCAGATACAAGCCCTCAGGGTGCCCCGGTCAGCCACGGCCTGAAGCCACTGCTTTCCAGGCACTGGACTGAGGGCTCTGTTGGGGAAACCAAGGAAATCCGGAGACTAATACGGTAGTTAAAAGACTGCATTTCCCTCTCGGCGCGCGACGCTGTAAAGACGCTTTATTTCCTATTTCCCGTTCCTGCAGAACACATCTGTACCGCCAGTGCCTGAGCTGCTGTTACTGAACCTTTCACTACAGATGCTGTTTTCAAAAATCACTTTCAGGGTGGAGATTTCTCAGCGATGTTGGAGCTGGCGGATGGCCACCACCCGTCACAGCCCTCTCCTGGCAATGCCCTCGGGCCAGTTTGGGGAAGAATCTCCAGCCCCTTTCCAGAAGTCACAGAGCACTAGCCCTGAGCCGGCAGGGCAGGGTGGAGCTGTGTGCAGGGGAGGGGGGAGCACCCAAAGCCCAGACAGGAGGGCCTTGGGCAGGGAATGCATTCATGGGCCTCTGGGAGACTGGGCCCCATGCCTCTCATTCACTGGCCTAGCACTGAGGTCCAAGGCCAGGCAGCTCCTCCCTCCTGGCCAGCTCTGCCAGGAGAGAACTGCTTAGTCGGCTGTGAGGCGTCTTCCCACTCATGTCCTTCTCATGTCCACGTTGCCCTCCACCATCCACGGAAGTCCCTGCTCCCACAGTCCCCAGGGCTTGGGCAGGCAGACTCAGAGTTTACAGCTAGCCTGAGCCACTTTAGAGCTGGTTTTTCTGTTCAGGGCTTGGCAGATAAAGTTGCCAGCTTCCAGGAGCTTCTGGAGGTTCACACCCTTGGACAAACAAGCGAGAGGAGACAGTAAGTCACGGCATGCCCTTGTCACCAAGGGCCACGTCTGGCTGGACAGATGACCATGACACCGGGAAGGGTGCAGACAGACGTGGGCACCAGCTGCCTGTGAGGTCACCTGGGGTGGCCCCTCTGACTCTCCAGAGCCCCAGAGGAGCCAGCTCACTTCCATCACAAACCTGGCCTTTCAGAGCCCTCCACGCCTCCTGCTATCTCCTTGGACTCAACTGTCCAAGTCACACTGACACGAGCCTTTGCGCCCATGCTCGTGGCCTGGCTCAGCCATGCTCTGCTACCTCACAAGCATAAACCGAAGTATCCAGAACCCCCTGGCAGCCTTCTCTCAGTCCCACCCCTACCCAACAACCCCCTAACCCTTTTCTATCTCTTAGGTCAGGCAGAGCATGCAGTTCAGTGCGTCACCAGCAGGGGGCAGGCGAGCTTACCGTGTGAACACCTAGGCCAGCCAGCATGTAGACCAGGTCCTCGGTGGCCAAGTTCCCCGATGCCCCCTGTGCATAAGGACAGCCTCCAATTCCTGCCACGGAAGAATCCACGACACTCACTCCCATCTGGAAACAAGACGGCGAAACATGGCTGTCTCTGAGGACCAGAGCCTACAAAGCCGGTCCTTGCACTCATTCTTCCCTCTGGCTGTGGGTCTGCAGGAGGCGCCACTGAGCTGGCGCGTCTCCTTTTCGTCCCGGGAACAGTGTTAGTCTCTTGTGTACGCCGTTTTCTCAGCTGGGAGGACCTTTCCTCCATTCTTCCTCAGCTTTCAGGTCTCAGCCTAAAGGCAACCTTCTCAGAGTCCCTTTGTGAGCACTAACTTTTTGTTTGTTTTTTTCTTTTAAGAAACAACACATATTTTAATTTATTTATCTATTTACCTTCTGTCACTTTTAGGCCGCTCGGCCTGAGACTTGTCCGGTGCTCAGCCATGTGGGGGTTCAGTGCCTGCCCTCCCCTGACCACCGACTACTCCACCCCACGGCTGCTCTGGCTCCTAGTTGGCCAGGCTAGCTGCTCCCCACTCTCCCAGAGCAATATTCTTCCTTCTTTCCCCTTAAACCTGCCGTACCACATCCTCACACTGAGGAAGCATTTGATCAGAAGAGATGTCCCCCTGGGACCAGCAGTTAGCGTAATGGCTATGTCGCTGGACTTCCATGTAGTCGACCATGGTTTGAGTCCCGGCGGCTCAAACTCACGCTGGGCGCGTGTGCGTGCGTGCCCAAGATCCCGAGAGGAGAATGGAGAAGAGACTGCGGTGTGGCCATCCCCCCTGGGAGGTGATTTCTCACTTTCTGTCTCTCTGTCTCTGTCTTTCTGGCGAGCGCACGTGCCCTATAGCAAAAACATCTCCAAAAAAAAAAAGAGATGTCCCCCTTGCTTGCTGTGTCCCACCCACAGGCTCCTCTTCTGCTCATGCGGACCCCTTGCCCAGCATGGGCCGGTTCCTGTTCCTGTCTGCTCCTGCTCACGGGTTGCTCCCTCCTTTTCTTCGGCCCCGGGGTTCCCCAGTCCTGGGCTGTCCTCACACAGAAGGCTGGCATCCCTCCCATCTTTTTTTTATTTTTAGGTTTTTGCCAAAGGGCGCATACACTTGTCAAAGACTGAGGGAGAGTGAGAAATCACACTGGGGAGGGGTTGGTGGCCTCACCACAATCCTTTCTCCTCCACTCTACTCTCAGGGTTTCGGGCACACGTGCACACCCGCCCAGAGCTATTTTCAAGCCACCAGGGCCAGGTCTCAAACGGCAGCTGATCACGAGAGTCCAGCGCCTTAATCACGCTGGCCTGGCATCTCTCCCATCTTTTACTGACCCTTTCTGGAATGCTCCACCTTCCTGTTTCTTTGCCCCAGTTCATGGCAAAACTCAAAAGGAGCTGTCCCTTCCTCCCTGACTTCTGCCATCCTTTCCTGAACCCATGCTAAACACGTTCTGCCCCAACACTGGGACAGCCCTTCCGATCGGAAAACAGAAGGTCAGACTACTGCTACGGCAACGGAGCCCGGGGGCGGGTAGATGAGGAGAATGTTCCTTCTGGGCTGCTGGTTTCATTCTGGGCTGGCCCACCTGAAGCACTAAATGTGAGGCCTCAGTCCATCTTTGGGAACCAGTACTAAAGGCTCCTCCTCTGAGCAACCTTGTACACCTCCACCTCCCCGCCTGCTCCCCTGTGTACACGTGCCCACACGTTCACAGCCTGGTGCTGTGATGGGACCAGGCCCCGCCGTCCTCCTAGCCCCACCTTAGCTCTGCAATGCTGCCTGCCTAGTTACCTTTCCTCATCCCTTTCCAAGCTACCTACCTTGTCCTGTCCTTCAAGTCTCCCTGGGCCTCTTGGCGAATCCTCCCTGCCCCTTGGCTGGGGTGGGGCCCCATGTAGATTTTCTCAGCCCTGGCTTCTTGCCTCGGGGCATCTGTCACCACACCACAGGATTACCAAGTAACTCCCTCGACTGTCCTCCGCAAGATCAGGGTCACATCTACAGCCACCACTGCCTCCCAGAACCTGGCATCAGGAAATCTGTGCTGAAATTGGTAGTGAGACCAAGCTGTCCTGCCATCAGGCCCTCGGGAAGACAGTATGTGCCTCTGATTACCTGCAGGGCCATCAAGGTGTTGGCCAGGGCTTGGCCGTAGGTGTCATGGCAGTGTACAGCCAGGGCAGCCACCGGCACCTCGTGCATGACAGCAGACAGCATGTCCTTCATGGCCCCTGGGGTGCCCACGCCGATGGTGTCCCCCAGGGAGATCTCGTAGCAGCCCATTGAGTACAACTTCTTGCTGACCTGGGGAAGCAAACAGGTCCTAGGAGGTGAGCAGGTTCCAGCTCAGGGGCCCTCCGCCTGGGCAGAACACAATTCTGAAGCACTTATTCCCATCAGCTCTTTGGCGCCTGGCAGCTCTGGTGGGAATGCAGCCCCTCGGGCCACGGGTAAGAAGACTGGGACTCGGGGAGCAGAGCCAGCCTCTGTGCCTTCCTCCTCACTGAGTCCCTTCCCCCCCCCCCTCTGTGCCTTCCTCCTCGCCGAGTCCCTTCACCCCCCGCCTCTGTGCCTTCCTCCTCGCCGAGTCCCTTCACCCCCCGCCTCTGTGCCTTCCTCCTCGCCGAGTCCCTTCACCCCCCGCCTCTGTGCCTTCCTCCTCGCCGAGTCCCTTCACCCCCCGCCTCTGTGCCTTCCTCCTCGCCGAGTCCCTTCACCCCCCGCCTCTGTGCCTTCCTCCTCGCCGAGTCCCTTCACCCCCCGCCTCTGTGCCTTCCTCCTCGCCGAGTCCCTTCACCCCCCGCCTCTGTGCCTTCCTCCTCGCCGAGTCCCTTCACCCCCCGCCTCTGTGCCTTCCTCCTCGCCGAGTCCCTTCACCCCCCGCCTCTGTGCCTTCCTCCTCGCCGAGTCCCTTCACCCCCCGCCTCTGTGCCTTCCTCCTCGCCGAGTCCCTTCACCCCCCGCCTCTGTGCCTTCCTCCTCGCCGAGTCCCTTCACCCCCCGCCTCTGTGCCTTCCTCCTCGCCGAGTCCCTTCACCCCCCGCCTCTGTGCCTTCCTCCTCGCCGAGTCCCTTCACCCCCCGCCTCTGTGCCTTCCTCCTCGCCGAGTCCCTTCACCCCCCGCCTCTGTGCCTTCCTCCTCGCCGAGTCCCTTCACCCCCCGCCTCTGTGCCTTCCTCCTCGCCGAGTCCCTTCACCCCCCGCCTCTGTGCCTTCCTCCTCGCCGAGTCCCTTCACCCCCCGCCTCTGTGCCTTCCTCCTCGCCGAGTCCCTTCACCCCCCGCCTCTGTGCCTTCCTCCTCGCCGAGTCCCTTCACCCCCCGCCTCTGTGCCTTCCTCCTCGCCGAGTCCCTTCACCCCCCGCCTCTGTGCCTTCCTCCTCGCCGAGTCCCTTCACCCCCCGCCTCTGTGCCTTCCTCCTCGCCGAGTCCCTTCACCCCCCGCCTCTGTGCCTTCCTCCTCGCCGAGTCCCTTCACCCCCCGCCTCTGTGCCTTCCTCCTCGCCGAGTCCCTTCACCCCCCGCCTCTGTGCCTTCCTCCTCGCCGAGTCCCTTCACCCCCCGCCTCTGTGCCTTCCTCCTCGCCGAGTCCCTTCACCCCCCGCCTCTGTGCCTTCCTCCTCGCCGAGTCCCTTCACCCCCCGCCTCTGTGCCTTCCTCCTCGCCGAGTCCCTTCACCCCCCGCCTCTGTGCCTTCCTCCTCGCCGAGTCCCTTCACCCCCCGCCTCTGTGCCTTCCTCCTCGCCGAGTCCCTTCACCCCCCGCCTCTGTGCCTTCCTCCTCGCCGAGTCCCTTCACCCCCCGCCTCTGTGCCTTCCTCCTCGCCGAGTCCCTTCACCCCCCGCCTCTGTGCCTTCCTCCTCGCCGAGTCCCTTCACCCCCCGCCTCTGTGCCTTCCTCCTCGCCGAGTCCCTTCACCCCCCGCCTCTGTGCCTTCCTCCTCGCCGAGTCCCTTCACCCCCCGCCTCTGTGCCTTCCTCCTCGCCGAGTCCCTTCACCCCCCGCCTCTGTGCCTTCCTCCTCGCCGAGTCCCTTCACCCCCCGCCTCTGTGCCTTCCTCCTCGCCGAGTCCCTTCACCCCCCGCCTCTGTGCCTTCCTCCTCGCCGAGTCCCTTCACCCCCCGCCTCTGTGCCTTCCTCCTCGCCGAGTCCCTTCACCCCCCGCCTCTGTGCCTTCCTCCTCGCCGAGTCCCTTCACCCCCCGCCTCTGTGCCTTCCTCCTCGCCGAGTCCCTTCACCCCCCGCCTCTGTGCCTTCCTCCTCGCCGAGTCCCTTCACCCCCCGCCTCTGTGCCTTCCTCCTCGCCGAGTCCCTTCACCCCCCGCCTCTGTGCCTTCCTCCTCGCCGAGTCCCTTCACCCCCCGCCTCTGTGCCTTCCTCCTCGCCGAGTCCCTTCACCCCCCGCCTCTGTGCCTTCCTCCTCGCCGAGTCCCTTCACCCCCCGCCTCTGTGCCTTCCTCCTCGCCGAGTCCCTTCACCCCCCGCCTCTGTGCCTTCCTCCTCGCCGAGTCCCTTCACCCCCCGCCTCTGTGCCTTCCTCCTCGCCGAGTCCCTTCACCCCCCGCCTCTGTGCCTTCCTCCTCGCCGAGTCCCTTCACCCCCCGCCTCTGTGCCTTCCTCCTCGCCGAGTCCCTTCACCCCCCGCCTCTGTGCCTTCCTCCTCGCCGAGTCCCTTCACCCCCCGCCTCTGTGCCTTCCTCCTCGCCGAGTCCCTTCACCCCCCGCCTCTGTGCCTTCCTCCTCGCCGAGTCCCTTCACCCCCCGCCTCTGTGCCTTCCTCCTCGCCGAGTCCCTTCACCCCCCGCCTCTGTGCCTTCCTCCTCGCCGAGTCCCTTCACCCCCCGCCTCTGTGCCTTCCTCCTCGCCGAGTCCCTTCACCCCCCGCCTCTGTGCCTTCCTCCTCGCCGAGTCCCTTCACCCCCCGCCTCTGTGCCTTCCTCCTCGCCGAGTCCCTTCACCCCCCGCCTCTGTGCCTTCCTCCTCGCCGAGTCCCTTCACCCCCCGCCTCTGTGCCTTCCTCCTCGCCGAGTCCCTTCACCCCCCGCCTCTGTGCCTTCCTCCTCGCCGAGTCCCTTCACCCCCCGCCTCTGTGCCTTCCTCCTCGCCGAGTCCCTTCACCCCCCGCCTCTGTGCCTTCCTCCTCGCCGAGTCCCTTCACCCCCCGCCTCTGTGCCTTCCTCCTCGCCGAGTCCCTTCACCCCCCGCCTCTGTGCCTTCCTCCTCGCCGAGTCCCTTCACCCCCCGCCTCTGTGCCTTCCTCCTCGCCGAGTCCCTTCACCCCCCGCCTCTGTGCCTTCCTCCTCGCCGAGTCCCTTCACCCCCCGCCTCTGTGCCTTCCTCCTCGCCGAGTCCCTTCACCCCCCGCCTCTGTGCCTTCCTCCTCGCCGAGTCCCTTCACCCCCCGCCTCTGTGCCTTCCTCCTCACCGAGTCCCTTCACTCCCACTTCTATCTTTCTGGCGAGCGCACATGCTCTATAGCAAAAACCGGTACTCGGCCTCTGTGTGGCACCCGGGAGCTGGAATCAGTAAAATGGCTACTTCTCACATGGTTGCATCCTTTGCAGTGAGCTCTGTGGAAGGACAGGGCTGAGGTGCTAGCTGTGTTTGTAACAGAGGTACTCATGACAATTTAAATTTGAGGAGACCGTTTGCAAACCCTAGTATCACAGCCGAACAGCAGTACGTGCCTCGGCTGGGCACACCGCGCTCAGTGCTGCCCACACCGAGCTGCTGGACCAGGCGAGGACGGCGTGGCAGGGCAAGGACACACATGGCAAGCACAGTGATCTAGATCAGAAAGATGGTGACGCCCCGTCCCTACGGCCCGTGCGTGCAGAGGGACAAGGAGGAGTGGCTGGGCCGCTGGGGGCAGCAAGGAACCGAGGCAGGAGCAGCCTTTGGCGTCAGCGATGCTGGATGGAGTCCCACTTCTGCTGGTCACCCTGTGGCCTTGGCAAGGGACTGAGCTTTTCTGTCCTTCGTAGGGCTATGGTGAGGATCAGCGGCCGCGTCAGGCCGAGGCCTGCGTGCTCCAAGGAGCAGACATGACTGTTACGTCCCTCCTACTAGGTGCTGCCCAGGACTGCGGGGAGAGCAGAGGGCCTGGGGGACAGGCTGGGGTGTGACAACTGGTGACACCATCTGCAGCCCGTGGCACGTCACCTAGTTTCAGTGGCGTCAAAGGTAAAGTGGAACGATCATCTCCCCAGAGTGGTTCTGAAGACTAAACGACAGTTTTTGGCTCGCTCAGACTCAAGCCCACACCGGGAGCTCCTTGGCGTTGACGTGCTGTTCTGAGTGTCAGAGGTGTGGCCTCTGCGTGAGGAGCCCCCGGTCATCACCTTGAAACCACCTGCCAGCTGGCCAGAGTGACGCTCAACTGGAGGCTTTCAGGCTGAGGCAGAGGTCCGGGCCTTCAAGACCTCATGGCCAGCTAGAAGGTGGGTCTCCAGGGAGCAAGCAGGGCCGAGCTCCCAGGGGGTGTAATGAAGGGGCTGGGCTTAAAGAAATTGGTGACACGTCAGGACAAGGTGGGGAGATGAACTTACGCCCTCAGGGGCAGGAAGGGAGCCTGTCCTCACAACATTCCCACCTGAGACACACACCTCGGCTACTTTAGCTGGGGCAATCTTCCCTTCATAGGGACATCCGAGCACACAGGAGACGTACCTGCAGGAAGAGAGAGGAGTAACCTCAGTGCCCCCACCTCTATGGTCAGCAGAGCTGAGGCCCTGGCCAGCCTGCCGCCAAAGCCTGAGCTGGCAGGAAGGAGTCAGCGCCTGGAAGAAAGGCTAAGCGGGTGAGGTGGGTGGGAGCGAGGCAGTGCGGCTCCTTGCCAGGAGAGGGCAGCAGGGAACCACGGCAGGGAACGGACAGGCTTGGGGGTCAGTGAAGCTGGAACAAGGCTAGTGAGGCAGCAGAGGGCAGCGAGAGAGGGCAACCTGACAGCTTTGAGGGCATGGAGGTGAGGTCAAGCCCACCAGGAGGCCGTCCTCACAGAAGGATCCGAGGACTGGGTGAGACCAGCAGCTAGGACAGGAACCGAGCTGGACGGGCATAGGGGCAGCTGCACTGGGGAGCCCCTGGGTCAGCTGCTCCACTGAGTGCCAGCCAAGTCGCTCACTCATGCTCACTTGCTCAGCTGATGCTTCTGAGTGGTCCATGAGGTGCAGGCATGAGGCCCAGAGCAGTGAGCAGGATTGGCGCTCTTTCGAAACTTCAAGTTAGGGGAGAACTGATGGAAGGGGCACCCAGCTAAGTGGAGCTGACCTCAGGAAGTGACGCACTGGGAAGGAAGGGAGGGGAAGCATGAAGGGCCGCCAGGGAGGCTAGCTGTGGGGAGTGGGGGTCCAGGAGGACCTCTCCGAGGATGGGACGCTGGAGCTGGAGAAGGGGGGCGGTCTACGGAAGAGCATTCCAGGCAGAGAGAAGAACCTATGCAAGGCCCTGAGATGGAAGAGCTGGATGTGTCCAAGACGGGATGGGGGCCAGTGGGTGGTGCCGTGGTGGAAGGCAGTCCCCAGGGGACAGCTCCAGTGTCTCGTCTGGAGACCTCCCTGAGTACACCAGGCATGCACATGCCCATAATGTAGGGCTGGGGGGGTGACCGGGGTGTTAGGACTATCGGGGGTGCCGTCTCTCTCATGGAAGAGATGGGGGGGTCAAAGCTAAGGTAGCTGGATCCCATATGACCGACTGCACAGATCAAGTCCCAGACCTGGTAGCTTGAAAAACATGCCAGGCCTATGTGTATGTGTGCCTAAAACCTCAAGATGGGAGTGGGGGAGCAGGGACTGTGGCATGACCATCCCCCTGGGCCTTCTCACGTCCCCTTTTCCTTTGCCCTCTCTCTGCCTCTCTGTCTCCAGTGAGCTCATGTGCCCGATAGGAAAGAAAAAAGAACAGAACAGAAGAGGTAAGGCACAGGGATAAAGATACGGAATGAGGTTGAAGAGGCAGCTTTGGTGAGGAGTTTAGGTTTTGAATGTGGACAACTTCTATTCCCACTAACCCTGTTGCGGGCGTGGTGGCACCTGCCCTATGCCACTAACCCTGTTGGAGCTAAGACTCGGCCCCCCCAGAAAGTGAGAAATCACACTCCAGAGGGGATGGCCATGCCACAACTCCTTCTCCTCCATTCTCTTGGGATTTGGGGCATGCATGCACATGCACCTGGCGTGATTTTCTTTTTCTTTATTTAGGTTTTTGCCATAGGGCATGTGCGTTTGCTGGAAACAGAAAGAAAAGTGAAAAATCACCCCTGTGGGGAGATGGCCATGCTGTAACCCCTTCTCCACTCTTCTCTAGGGACTTTGGGTGTGTGCATGCACACATATGTGCACATATGCCTGACGTGATTTTCAAACCACTGGTTTGAACTGCAGTTGGCCATCTGGGAGCCCAGCGCCTTAGCCACCATGCCACCTGCTGGCCCCACAGTGTGATTTTCAAGCCCCTGATATAGGACTTGAACCACAGTCAGCCATGTGGGATTCAGCACCTAAACCTCTATGCCACCTGCTGGCCCTGGAGCTAAAACAGCTTTAAAACCTTTTAGAGTTGAGCAAAATATCTGCATAGTAAGAGGCATAATAAATGCTTTCTGGGGGCTGGTAGGTGGAGTGGTGGTCAAGGCACTGGACTCCCACATGACTGACCACAGTTCGAGTCCCAGATCTGGCAGCTTGCTTGCTTGCTTCCTTGCTTGTTTTTTCATCAAATTAAAAAATAATAACAACTGAGGCCAGCAGGTGGCATAGTGGTTAAGGCAATGGACTCCCACGTGGCTAACTGCAGTTTGAGTCCAGACCTGGTGGCTTGCTTTCTCACTTTTCCTCTCTCATTTTCTCTCTCTCTAGTGAGGATATATGCCCTAAATAATAATAATAAATAAATAAATAAAATAAAAAATTCTTAAAAAATTAAATAATTTAAAAGAATGCTTGCTGGAAAAATCATTTCTGATCCAAAGATCTCAGCATACCCTTCAATTTGAATTGTCCCACTTATTTTCCAAACATTGCAAAGCAAGAAAAAGTAAGAGAGACATGGAGAAAGAGCCCCGGCTGGGAGTGAGCAGGCATGACCCGGCTCCCGCCTGCTCAGTCACCCTGTGCCCATCGCTGGGGCCTGGCTGGGAGAGCAGAGCACCCCGGGAACTGGGAGAGAGACTGGCTTGGCCCTTGTGGAGAGCATGGTCTAGAGGGGGTGTTCGACAAGTGCTCCGTTAGCGGATGTGCAGGGGATGACGGTACCCCAGAGGAAGGCACTACTTCTAGCTGGGGGACAAGGGAAGCTTCTCGGAGGATCTGGCATCCACGGGAGCACCTGAGGGACAAGAGGCGCTCCTGAGAAGCAGGGAAGGAGGGAGAGGTCTGCCTCTATGGAAAGCATGCACAAAGGCCGAGAGAGAGGGTGAGGCGTACGGAAGGAAGGGAGGCTCAGCTGGGCGGGAGTGTGGTACAGAGGAAGCAGGGACCAGAAGGGCACAGGGGACAGTAGGCTGCGGAGACTGGAGGGAGTGTCATGCCGGTGCTCGCAAGCCACGGTGACTCACTCGGTCAGTCACACGGGCACGGTGTGATCAGATGTGCACTTTCTTTTTAAAAAAATTATCCATTCAATTTGTTTAGTGTATTATTATTACTACGTTAAGTTGCTATAGCACACATGTGTTCACCAGAGAGACAGAGAGAGAGAGAGAGGTAAAGTGAGAAAGCAAGCCACCAGGTTTGGGACTCGAACCACAGTCAGCCATGTGGGAGTCCAGCACCTTGACCACCATGCCACCTGCTGGCTCTCAGATGTACACTTTCAAAAGATCACTCCTGGCGCAAGGTGAACAACGATGCGACCTTGCAGTAGACTGTTCACCCTTCCTGAGCCCCGGTTTGTCATCTGCACAGTGGGGACAGTCCTTCCTTGCCAGGTTGTGGTGAGGTTTCCATTAGGTAACACACATTAATGCTGTGATTAGAGATGCCATGTGGGAAGAGCAGAGCCCATGGGATGCTCTGGGAGGTGTGGATGTTGGAGGTGATGCCAGGGTTATGCTGACTAGTGAACCCCAATTAGAGTCCTGTCCTGCTAGAGTCTCCTGGTGAACTGATCCAGAATTCAGGTGAGAGGGAAAGCACCCGCTAGTACTTCTGCCCACGTCTGGATGGGCTGCCCTCCCCCGGCACGAGGGGTCTGGTGTGGGGAGGACTGTTTGAGTAGAGCCTAGCTCCATTCCAGAAAGGCACTACAGAGAAGATACCCTGTGGGCCGACTCACCCCCGCACAGAAACGCCGGCTGCCTGAGCTGCCTTCAAGACGACGTCGAAGCGCTGCAGGCTCTCATCCACGGAGCAGTTGATGTTCTTCCTGGTGAAGAGCTCTGAGGCAGCTCCAAAGACCGACACTTCCTTGGCTCCAGCAGCGACCTGCCAACATCCCGGTGAATTCCTTTCAGCATTTTTCCCTTCAAGGAGCGCTCACAGAGTGGCAAAAAAAATTTTGTCTTCTGGTAACTTTTGCAATCTGCGAATGGTATGTGTTGTTCGTGTCCCACTAATGGGGTGTGCTCAAGACCGGACCCCCCAGAACCCCAGAATGTGGCCTCATTTGGAAACGGGGTCACTGCAGATGGAATTAGTTAAAATGTGTCCATATTGGAATAGGATGGGCCCCTAATCCGAGGGGACTGGTGTCCTTAAAAGAAGGTGGCCACAGGGCCAGCAGGTGGTGTGGTGGTTAAGGTGCCAGACTCCCACATGGCCGACCGAGGTTTGAGTACCTGACCAGGCATCTTGAAATTCACACCAGGCACATGTGCATGTGTGTGTGCCCAAAACCCCAGAAAGAAATAAAGAAGGGACTGCGGTGTGGCCAGAGCCTTGGGGTGTGACCTCTCACTTTCCCTCTCTCTGTCTCTCTCTGATGAGTGCAAGCACCCTATGGCAAAAAACTAAAAAGAAAACAAGATGGCTGCATGACGACAGAGAGGCAGAGAACGGAGGGCTGCATCTACACACTGAGGAGTGCTGAGGGTGGCCAAGGATCACCGGCCACCACCAGCAGCAGGAGAGGTCTGGCAGATTCTCCCCCAAGTACCGGAAGGAGCCAACCCTGCCAGCACAGGCATTGCAGACTTCAGCCTCCAGAACGGGGAGGGGGTGCATCTTAGCTTAAGCCCTCCATTTTGTAGCATGTACAGAACACACACAGGGAATTACATCTCAGCTGTAACTGCGGTTACACGCCACAAAGACAGAGGAGACAGACCTGGGACGAGGGTGGGAGGGAAACATCCCCTAACACGCATGGTCATGTTACGGTGAACACACGCAGGGAATTACATCTCAGCTGTAACTGTGGTTACATGCCACAGAGACAGAGGAGACAGACCTGGGACGAGGGTGGGAGGGAAACCTCCCCTAACATGCATGGTCACGTTACGGTCCCTTCTCAAACTCCCGTCTTCCATCCCAGCAGGACGTGAGAGATAAGCACACACATCCAACGTGTTTTTCAACCTGCTGGAGCTGGGACTTGAGGCCCGGTTGGGAATGTGGGGCTAGCTCCCTTCACACAGCACCCCTGCGCCACAGGGCTGGCCCTACCTCAGTATTTAAAAGCCCATCAACCTGACTTCCCCCAAGGACAGCATCACTGTCGGCTGCCATCATCACCCCAGAAAGGTACTCTTTTTTCTTTTTTCGAATTATTTAATATTATTTTATTATTATTATTATTATTGTTTAATTTGACCAGAGACAGAGAGATAGAGAGAAGAAAAGTGGGAAAGCAAGCCACCAGGTAAAGACCTGAACCACAGTTGGCCATGTAGGAGTCCAGCACCCCGACCACCATGCCTCCCACTGGAGCTGCTGAGTCATTCTTTTTATTTATTCTTTTTAGAATTATTTCACTTTACTTATTCATTCGTGTATTTTAATTTGACCAGAGAGAGACACACAGAGAGAGAGACAGAAAAGTAAGAAAGCAAGCCACCAGGTCTGGGACTCGAACTGTCGTTGGCCATAACCACCATGCCACCTGCTGGCCCTGGAAGTCACTCATAAAAGAATAATTTTGCCTAAATGCAGAACCATCACCAGTGACACCCTTGTGTAAGAATGCTGGCAGGACCAGCAGATGGCATAGTGGTTATGTTGCTGGACTCCCACATGGCCAACCATGGCCGGGTGAGTTCTGGACCCCATGACTTGAAACTCACACCAGGAGCATGTGCATGTGTACCCAAGATCCCAGGAAGAGAATGGAGAAGGGACTGCAGCGTGGCCACCCCTACTGGGAGGTGATTTCTTGCTTTCTTCTCACTGTCTCTTTCTCTCCAGCAAGCACCTCCACCAAAAAAAAAAAAAAAAAAAAAGAGAATGCTGGCAGATAATAGAGATATTAGCAACTACCGTGGAAACTCTGGTGGAGAGCTGAGTCTCCTTTCTCCAGAGAGGTGGGCAGCAACAGAGCTGGTGCTGAGGACGCATGTCTCTGCACCAGTGTGGCTAAGGAACGCCCGTGCCCCATCTTCTGAAACCCTCACACCCTTAGGTACTGCGGTAGTCGATTTTCAGGCAGAATCTGAGGCTCAGAGAGGTTAAGCAACTAGTCAGGATCCCAGAGCAGTGAGAAACAGGGCTGGGACTGCCCCCTCCCCGCCTGTCTGACGGCGCTTGTCACCCTCGACAGACGCCGTTCAGATGGACATCTCACGACCAAGGACTGAGGCCCAGAGACCACCCGGAGACCAATGCCATCAATCCTCAGGAGCCCCCACCCACGAGAGAGAGAGCTCCTCACCGCTGCCTCGAAGCCTTTGGCGTTTGGGGTCAGGACTGGGTAACTGACGCCAGGGAACTTCTGGATGCCTTTCAAGACTTCCGTGTGGTCAGCCATCTAGGAGCCAAAGGAGAGGTCACCCAACGTGGGCAGAGAGCTCAGAGATCTCATCATGAACTCTCTGCTCTCCAAAACCCTCGGAGACCAGCCCTTCTGCAGAGCTGGGTCTCCCCCTGCTCTTACTCTCGGTTTGACCCATTGGTAGGGGTCCTAGGTCTTGGGGTACCCCTGCTTCTCCACATGGCCCATCTGCCTGCTTCACAGAAGCAGAAACAGCAGCAGCTACTACTCCCAACCATCCACCGAGAACATGCTGGGAGCCAGGCCCTGGGCTCAGCTCTCTCATTGACAAACTCTCCCTCTGAACAGGGGCTTTCTTTCCCACTGGACTGTCCCTGTGAATAAGAGTCTCCGTCATCCCCTTTTACCAACAAGAAAAGACCCTTGAACCTAGAGATGTGAGACTTTCAGAGCCAGAAGAGACCTGAGAGGTTATCTCCGACCTGGAGAGGGAACAGGCCTTAGCAAGGTCACCAAGGAAGTTGGGGCAGGGCCAAGACCGAATCTGAGCTCCCAACATCCAGGTCATGTTTGCTCTTCTGCAAACCACAGTGTCATGAGCCAGCCGAAACCTCCGAGCCAGGGACCTGGAGGGCAAATGCAAAACTTTTTATCCCCCCCCCACCCCTGAGAGCTGGGCCTCACCTGGGGAACCCATTTGGGGGACACGAAGCTGGTGGCTTCTATAACAGGGAGTCCTGCTTCAGAAAGCATGTCTATTAGCTTGATCTTCACCGAAGTAGGTACGATATTCTAGGGTGGAGAAACACCGCAAAGGACAGGTAAGCAAAGGCGGTCAGAAAATGGCCCTGGGATTGGACCAGCAGTTAGCGTAATGGCTATGTCGCTGGACTCCCACGTAGTTGACCGCGGTTCGAGCCCTGGACCCGGTGGCTTAAACTCACGCTGGGTGCGTGTGCGTGCGTGCCCAAGATCCCGAGAGGAGAATGGAGGAGAAGGGATTGCTGCATGACCATCCCTCCTGGGGGGTGATTTCTCGCTTTCTATCTCTCCGTTTGGCGAGCACATGTGCCCTATAGCAAAATCCTCTCCAAAAAGAAAAGAAAATGGCCTTGGAGTACAAATACTGCTAGTCCAACGCTTTGGCTACAGCAAGCACGTCACTGTCTCACTTCCACAGCTGCCAGGAATGCACACGTGACCCCCGCCCTCGGGGTGGTGCAGGGCTGGTTTTCAAGCTCTACAGTGTTTTGCAATGGAGGTAGCGTCTCACCTGCAAGGGAGTTAATGTTTACATGAAAACTATATTTTTCTGCCATTCAGACTTTCCTTAACTAAAGTGTGATTTATGACCCTGTCATAAAAAAATTGAGTCACATTCCACAGACTAAAAGGGCACAGATGACTAACCCCGTGGGTCTCCTGGAATGGGGCCCTCAAAGTATCACACCCTCCCCTCTCTGTCTCTCACTGGCACAGCCCCTCATCCTCACATGCTCACCTACAGTTCCTCCTCCCCCACCGCGTCTACTCACTCACCAGAGTCTATGGATTACTCGTCCAAGTCTCCTATCAGTATCCCATGTACAAGGGCCAGCAGGTGGCATGGTCGCTAAGGCACTGGACTCCCACATGGCTGACTACGGTTTGAGTCCCAGACCTGGTGGCTTGCTTTCTCACTTTCTGTCTCTCTCTCTCTCACTCTATCCCTGTCCCTCTCAGTCAAATTAAAAATAGGGACCAGCAATTAAGCATAACGGCTATATCGCTGAACTCCCATGTAGTCGACCGCTGTTTGAGTCTTGGACCTGGTGGCTTAAACTCAAACCGGGCACGTGTGCGTGCATGCCCAAGATCCCGAGAGGAGAATGGAAGAGAAGGGATTGTGGCGTGGCCATCCCCCCCGGGGGATGATTTCTCACTTTCTGTCTCTCTGTCTCTGGTGAGCGCATACGCCCTATAGCAAAAACCTCTCCAAAAAAAAAGAAAAAGAAAAAATTAAATAAAGTTAAATAAAAATAATTGTTTAAAAAATATATATATATATATATATATATATACTAAATACATTATGGTGTAGTCTGCTCCACCAATTTGTCCTACACAGAATCCTAAAACACAGCCTCCATTGTCTCTCTGTCCTGTTCAAAAGCCTTCCTCCCCCGTCCCAGAGGGGTCATTTCTCACTTTCTCTCACTGTCTCTCTGTCTCCCAAGCACACAGGCCCTATGGCAAAATCCTTAAAAAACAAACACATAAACAAAAAACAAGAAGCCTTCCATTGCTACTGAGTACCTACAAGATTAGGTCTTAACCCTGAAACTCCAGGTCCTTCTCCCTAGGTCCTTCTTCCCAGGCCCTCCTACTCTCTCCCTTCTAACTTCTCTCCCACTGCCTTAACTTAATCTAGTCCACAAACTTTAAAAATATATATTTAATTTATTATTATTATTTTTAAAAATTTTGCTGCAAGGTATGTGCACTTACCAGAGAGAGACAGAGAGAAAGAAGGAAAGTGAAAAAGTAAGCCACCAGGTTCAGGACTTGAACCACAGTTGGCCATGTGGGAGTCCAGTGCCTTAACCACCATTCCACATGCTGGCCCCTGCAAACATTTTCTGAAAGCTCTTCATGTTATAGACATTAAATACTAGAGCTATCTCATACAGCAAGAAGAGCAAATGTAATTCTGTCCTCATGGAGCTTACAGACCATTCCCAGCAAGCACTTGCAATTAAAACCGACTAGTCATGCTTTTAAAAAAAGAAAACATGCTTTTTTAAAGTTTTTAAAAAAAAGAAAAAAGGAGGAACCAGCAGACGGCATAATAGTTATGTTGCTCGACTATGGATGAGTTCTAGACTCAGCAGCTTGAAACTTACACTGGGTGCGTGTGTGTGCATGCCCAAAATCCCAGGAGAAGGGATTGCAGTGTGGCCATTCCCCTCGGCGGGGGGTTTCTCACTTTCTGTCTCTGTCTCTCTGGTAAGCGCAAATGCCCTATACCAAAAATCTCTCTTTAAAAAAGACAAAAAAAAAAGGAAATGAAAAGCTTTCTCATTGAAAAAATAATCAATATATAACTTCAAAAAAATGCTAAAAATAAACAAAAAAATAAACCTGCGACCCTCTCAAGAGATAGCACGGCTAACATCCAGGAATGTAAGTCTCTCTATCTGGGCAGTCCCGTGCTAGTCAGTAGCCACATACAGTTAAACTTCTTTATTGGCCAGAGGGAGAATGTGCTTATTAGACACGCAAGAGAGAGTGAGGGAAGGTACCCCCTAGGGGACACGGCCATACCACAATCCCTTTTCCCTCCTTTTGGGATTTTGGCTATGCATGCACTTGGCACATGCCAAGTATGTTTCTCAAGCTACCATTTTTCAAGCCACCAGATCCAGGACTTGAACCATGAGTTGGTCCATGTGGGATCCAGCCACCTTAACCTTTGTGCCACCTTCTAGCCCTATATTTTTTTTAAAAAAGAATTATTTTATTTAACTTTATTATTATTATCATTGTTATTTTCCAGTTTGATCAGAGAGAGACAGAGAGAGAGAGAGAGAGAGAGAGGAAGTGAGAAAGCAAGCCACCAGGTCCAAGACTTGAACCATGGTCGGCCATGTGGGAGTCCAGCGCCCTTAACCACCATGCCACTTGCCAGCCCCAAGCCCTATCTTTTTCTTTGTCTTTCTTTCTCTCTCTCTTTTTAAGAATTATTTAATTTTTGTTACTATTATTTTAATTTTGCTAGAGGGCAAGTATGCTTGCCAGAGATAGACAGAGAGAGAAAAACAGTGAGAAAGCAAACTGCCAGGTCCAGGACTCGAACCATGGTTGGCCATGTGGCAGTCCAGTGCCCTACCCACCACGCCACCTGCTGGCACCTTTTTTTCTTTTTTATTAGCATACAATAATTGTACATAATTATAGGGATACAATATGATTTTACAGAGTAAGAACACAGTGTGTAATGGTTCATTCAGGATAATCAGCATGCCCATCACCTCAACCACTTGTCATCAGTAGTTCTGGGCACATACTTCATCACTAGCTTCACAGTGACACACTTGATGGGCAGTCCATGTGCCTGACCCAACTTCCCCACCCTCTGGAATACTCAAAGCAGATGCTTAAAAAACTTTTTTTTTTTTTTTTTTCTGAAAAAACTTCTTTAGGTTGACTTCCATTTTTACCTTTTCATTTTGTAGACCATCTCGGGGACCAACTTCCACAATTTTCACCTGCTTTGGGAAGGTGCCCACAGATGAGGTGCTGACCTTCGGTTTAAAAGAGGAAACAAAAAGTAAGAGAGAGTATAACAATTCTCCAGGGGGAACGATCTGAAAGAATGCTCCATCTTCACTACTACTGAGACTAAAGCAATACTTCTATTGGATTCACATTCAGTCTGTTTTAGAATTAGGAACGAGACTACTTCACTTAGGAACAGGTACAGAGTCATGCTCCCAGTACTCCCAGTCTCCCCGGAAGTCCAGACCCATTTCCGGGGATGTGACAGCTCTGTTTGTACCTCTCCGACTCAGCAGCCCCCAAGCAGAACCCTTCGGCTTCTCCTAGAGCCCACAGACGCTGCCCCTGCCTGCTGCGTCACAGGCACGGTGAGCACCTTCTGCTCAAGCCAGAGCCAGAACCTGCCCCTTCCCGTTCACCACGGCCTAGCGGGCATGCAGAAGGCACCACGTGATGGCTTCTTGTTGACCCTGGTGAACTCATCACTCATTTCTACTGTTCCCCTGCTACATACAGATGCGTGCGCGTGCGCACACACACACACACACACACACGACTCTGTGCCGTGCCTGTGCTCCTGGCCTTGCCTCCTGCTGCAGGGCCGCTGTGCTTGCTCCCTCCACCCAGAAGCCCCTGCGCCTGGTTCTTCCCACATCCCTGAGCCAGAGAGGGCTCCTCTGATTACCCTTTACAAAGCTGCCACTCCCCCAACCTGGGAGTTTCTATTTCTGGCACATTTCTCTTCTAATACTATGAACTCCTCAAATTAAATTCCTTTACCTGCCTTTATCTGGATAAACACAGTGCAGTGTGTTAAGGGGTGAATTACACTGTCTAATTTACTAAGGATGCCAAATCTCCAAAGTCATTAAGAATTCCTTGTGGGACCAGCAGGTGGCATGGTGGCTAAGGTGCTGGAATCCCATATGGCCAACCACAGTTCAAGTCCTAGACCTGGAGGCTTGCTGTCTCACTTTCCCTCCAGCGCCTGGTTCTTCCCACATCCCTGAGCCAGAGAGGGCTCCTCTGATTACCCTTTACAAAGCTGCCACTCCCCCAACCTGGGAGTTTCTATTTCTGGCACATTTCTCTTCTAATACTATGAACTCCTCAAATTAAATTCCTTTACCTGCCTTTATCTGGATAAACACAGTGCAGTGTGTTAAGGGGTGAATTACACTGTCTAATTTACTAAGGATGCCAAATCTCCAAAGTCATTAAGAATTCCTTGTGGGACCAGCAGGTGGCATGGTGGCTAAGGTGCTGGAATCCCATATGGCCAACCACAGTTCAAGTCCTAGACCTGGAGGCTTGCTGTCTCACTTTCCCTCCATCTCTCTCTGGTCAAATTAAAAAATAGTAATCATAAATAAAATTAAATTTAAAAAATGTTTTCAAGAATTCCTTGCTATAAGCTGGCTGGAACTTGAACAGCTCCTCTGAAATGGCTGTGGCCCTTCCGTGAGTGACCTAGACAGAACTCCCAACAAGGCCTAGCGCTGGGATCCACCCAGCTCCAGCAGCCCTAGGCCCTGCATCCTCAGGCAGGTCTGCAGAGGGGAGCCTGGAGCATCCTATGTGGGTTAGCCGCACAGAACGGCAGGTTTTACTGCTGGACTGGCCTGGACCCAGCCTGGCCTTGGTTGCAGCCAGGAAAGTTTCCTAGTAACCACAGTGATGAGCCATTGAATGTCAGGGAGTCAACAGGCTAATTTGGAAGGTCCCTGCAACTTAATCTCCCTCCAATACGAAGCTCAGCCTCTGCTGGTATGTCACACCCGAACACTGTCCCGCTGCAAGTAAGCTTCGTGAGGCAGGGACTTCGTTTTATTCCCAGCGCCCTGGGATGTAATAGGGGCTCAATAAATCATTGGTGAATTAGCTGACAGAACGAACCTGCTTCCAAGTGCTGTTTCTTAGAACAGAAGGAACTCAGTTCCACTTCCTTCCCCACGACATCTCCTCACACAGTAACGATTCGCATTTATTACACATTAGTATTTGCCAGGCACTATCAGAGCCTTTCACATACAAATCCTTACCATCTTCTCAGCAACCTCATTAGGTAGGAACCTATCAGAATCCCAAGTTCACTATGAGAAAGCTGGGGTCCAAGTAGGTCACATGGCTAGCTGGTCACCAAGGCAAAGGCAGGAACTCAGCAGTGTGGCTCCACGCCCAGGCCAGGGCTGCCTCTACCGCTCTGACCCCTGACCCCGTCTTCTCTTTGCCTGGTTAAACACTCAGCTCCTCCCTCTGTAAAGTCCTGCGTAGAGACGGTCCCCTCACAACCACAACCAGGAATGCGCCCCGCATGCCGAGCTACACCAATGTGAACAGCTACTGCTCTCTAGAACCCAGGGCCAAACCAGGCATCGCTGCCTCAGTCAGTCCCCACACGGCAGGGACTGTCAATCTCCCACCTCCAGGAAGGAAGAAACCGAGTGAAACAGTCTCAGATTTCCTAATTCCCACCTAATTCCCACCGTTACAAAGTGACGAAGCTTGGATGTAAACCCAGATCTGGTTCTGAGACTAAATCTGTTTTGGTACCCACACAGGGGATCATCTCAATACACTGGGAATTTTTTCTAAGTCTGTTTGTATCCACCATCTCATTTAATTTCCTTAAAGTTCCGGGGTGGAACTGCCATCTTCATGACATCAGCAGTTGGTGGTAGCAGGTGGCCTACTAAGTCATTAAAGCGGTTTTCTTTAATGTGGAGCCCAACTCCAGGAGCGTAATTTCCCCACTGTAACTCCTTCTAAACTAAGGTAAAAATACTGATTACTTTTTAGAAGCCTGAAAATAAATAAAGTTAAATAAAATAATTCTTAAAACAAAAAGGAGGGAGGCCAGCAGGTGGCATGGTGGTTGAGGACTCTGGACTCCTACATGGCAGACCACACTTCCAGTCCTGCACCTGATGGCTTGCATTCTCACTTTCCCTCTCTCTCTCATTCTTTCTCTCTGGTCAAATTAAAATAAATAAAGTTAAATAATTCTTTTTCTTTCTTTTTGAGAGGTTTTTGCTATAGGGCACGTGCACTCGCCAGACAGACAGAGAGAGACAAAGAGCTAGAAAGTGAGAAATCACCCCTCAGGGGGGATGGCCATGCCACAATCCCTTCTCCTCCATTCTCCTCTTGGGATCTTGTGTACGCACACACGCCCGGCATGAGTTTAAGCCGCCAGGTCTGGGACTTGAACTTGACTACATGGGAGTCCAGAGATACAGCCATTACGTCAATTGCTGGTTCCTACAATAATTCTTAAAAATTGAAAAGCCTAAACAGTGCCAGATGTTTTACCTACATTTTCTCTAATCTCCAAAACAACCATGAAGTAATGTTTGTCACTTTATAGATGAGAACATCTAGGGTAGAGAAAGAAAGTAACTGTCACTCAGCCTACAAGTGGCAAAACCAGCGGGGCACCATGGCTTGAACTTCGACCAACATAATTTATTGAGCTCTTCATACAGCTACGTTTTCCCTCCGGTCCCTGAGCACCGGAGAGGGGAAACACCAGATTCGCAGAGGTCCAAGTACAATTGCACAGAAATCCCAGCCTGGCCCCCGCGCCCGGGTACTCCTCTGGCCTCCCTAAAAGCCACAAGAACTAGACATGGGCCAGAAGAGGGGTGACTGGTTTTCCTAAACGGAACTGGCAGGGTCTGAGCAACTTTCATTAATGAAAAGTTAGAGGAATCGGAAGCTCAATTAGAGAAAGGAGCCAAGGCCATGGCGAAGGGCCGTGGGCTGAGAACAGTGCCCCCCGCTAGTCGCCTCCACACTCCGGGCCTCAGTCTCCCCATAACCCCTGGGGGTCTGGGTGGGACAGGAAGCATCCAACACTCCAGGGCTCTCCAGACCGGCCCGAGGAGGCCCGGGGTGGCCTCTCAGCAGCCGCCGCGAGCCGAGCCCCTGACCCTGAGCGTCGCGGTGCCTGCGGGGCCACCCTCGGTGGCCCGGGGCACTTACAGCCCGGAGGGACGCCAAGCCCACGAGCTGCCACGGAAGCACCCTCCTCACGGTCGCCATCTTGGCCCGGCTTCCCCCGCGTTCCCGCGACGGGACTGTACGTAACGCGCCGTGGGCGGGGCCTCCCGGGGGCGGGGCCGCGGGTGACGCACGCCCCGCCCTCCGCCCGCGTCCCACTCGGCTCTAGCCGCCCTCAGTTTATCCGTGTGGTTTTTGAGCCGCTGTTGTGCGCCAGGCAGGGTGAGGCGCTGGGAGCAGCAAGACGATCAATTAACCAGGCTCTGGTTTAGAGCCTGGGCTGTGGGGAGACGGAAATTAGTCACAGAAATAGTCGGAACAGTTCTCTCACATGAAGCAGCAGCAGCGGGGACCAGCAGATGGCAATGGTTGCAATCGCGGTTGGAGGTCAGGCCAGGCGGCTCAGACTCATGCCAGGCGTGTATGCGAGCGTGCCCGCAATCTGGAGAGGAGGGTGGGGGAGAGGGGATTGCAGTAGGGCCATCCGCCTTGTGGGGTGATTTCTCACTTTCTATCTCTCTGTCTCTCTGGGAAACCCACGTGCCCTATAGCAAAAATCTTTCTCTAAAAAAAAAAAAAAAAGCAGCAGCAGTATGACTATTGGGTGCTCGCTGCTGTGAGTTCTCTGTACATATTAACTCGTTCATCACGGTTGTCAGGATTCAAACGCACACGACCCTCCAGGATGGAAACATCGTTTGACTGCATACCTTGAAACCTGGGTAAGACGGGTACCAGCAGATAGCACTCTGGTTACATCGCTGGAGTCCTGGACTTGGTGACAAGACTCGTGCTGGGCATGTGTGCGTGCTGGCACGATCCCTGGAGAAGGGATTGCTGGCCGTTGGTTCCCTGGGGGGTAATTTCTCACTTTCTGTCTCTCTGGCCAAAGCATGCGCCCTATACCAAAAATTGCTCTCTTTAAAAAAAGAAAGAAAGAAAGAAAGAAAGAAAGAAAGAAAGAAAGAAAGAAAGAAAGAAAGAAAGAAAGGTGGGTGAGATCTATCCAGGAGACAGGACAGAAGAAAAGCTTTCCAAAGGTGAAACATAGTCAATGGTCCTGAGGCAAAGAAATGGAATGCTTAGGACAGTGTGTTTTGTTTATTGCCAGAGAGTGTGTGTCCTAGCCAGAGACTGAGGAGGTGAGGAGGAGAGAGAGAGGAAGCATGCCTGTTCCCCGCCCCCCCATAGGGCACCGTCAGTGCTTTTCAAACTGCATGTTGTGGCAGGGGGAAATTATTTATTTATTTATTTATTTATTTATTTATTGCCAGAGGGACTGCACTTGTCAAAGAGACAGAAAGAAAAAAAAAAGCATCCCTCATGGGGAATGGTTATACTCGATCCCTTCTCCATTTCTCACTCCTTTTGGGCACATGCATACCTACCTGGCATGTATTCCTAGCTGCCAAGTCAGGGGTTCCAACCATGTGGTTGGCCATGCGGGATTCAGCTCCTGGAACCACCTGGCCATGGCAGACCTATGCCCTGTTCCTTGGTCATCACATCAATTTAGTGGGCACTATTTCTTTTTTTTTAAGAGAGAAAATGAAAAAACACCCCCTCCCCAGGGATGCCCATGCCATAATCCCTTCTCTATTCTCCTCTTGGGATTTTGGGCACATGCATGTGCTTGGTATGTATTTCAAGCCACTGGGTCCAAGACTCGAGCTGCCCGGTTGGCCATGTGGGACCAAACTGTTTTAACCATCATGCCGCTGTCTGGCCCTTGGGCACCATTTTCTTTTTTAAAGAAATGGAATTTTTTTAAAAAATCACTTTTCTTTCTTTCTTTCTTTCTTCCTTTCTTTCTTTCTTTCTTTCTTTCTATGTTAGAGAGATTTTTGCTATAGGGTTTGAGTGCTCGCTGGAGAGACAGAGAAAGACAGAGAATGGAGGGGGGAAATGGCCACACTTCAATCCCGTTTCCTCCATTCTCTAGGGATTTGGGACACACCTCCCCGTGTGAGCTTCAAGCTGCCAGGTTTGCACCTCGAACCATAGTTGACTTACATGGGCACCCAGCAATGTAACCATTACACGGTCTATAAAAGCAATAAAGCTTAAATACTGCCTTGGGAAACATGTTACTACGTCAGCCAGGTGGCAACATAAAATAAATTTCTTCCTGTGGGCTGCAATTTAAAAAATATTTGAAGAACACTGCTTTAGAATAGTAGTCCTCGGGCTGAAAGATGGCATAGTGATTAAGGCACTGGACTCCCACATGGTCGCCCGCGGTTCGAGTCCTGGACCTGGTGGCTTGCTTTCTCACTTTCCTTCTCTCTGTCTCTCTCTGGTCCACTTCAAAAAAAAAATGAGGGACCAGCAGTTAGCGTAATGGCTATATTGCTGGATTCCCACATAGTCAACTGCGGTTCGCGTCCTGGACCCGGTGGCTTAAAACTCACGCTGGGTGCGTGTGCGTGCGTGCCCAAGATCCCGAGAGGAGAATGGAGGAGAAGGGATTGTGGCGTGGCCCCCCCCCCCCCAGGGGATGATTTCTCGCTTTCTGTCTCTCTGTCTCTCTCTGTCTGGCGAGCGCCCATGCCCTATAGCAAAAAGCTCTCAAAAAAAAAAAAAAAAAGAAAAAAAAGAAATAATGACAATGAATAAAATGAACTAAAGAATAGTAGTCCTCAGCCTTTTTAGCACCAGGGACTAGTTTTGTGGCATCGTTTATCCAGGAATGGGGAGGAGGTGGTGGGGATGGTTCTGGGATGGTTCAAGCATCACCTGTCTGCTGGTGGCCCAGTCCCTGTGAGGTACTGGCCTGTGGCCAGAGGGCTGGGAACCCTTGTTTTACAAAGATGGCAAGAAGGCCAGAATGCTTGAAGAGCAGAGAGCGGTCGGGCGGGGACTTCCTGCTAAGCCTGAGCAGGTTAGCAGGAGCCATGCCACAGGGCTTTGGAGAACCATTCAGCACAGCTGTCCAAACAGCAGTGCTGCTAAAGGGTTAAAGCAGGGAGCTCTGGTTACACCTGCATTTTCTGACTAGTTACTGTGGCTGCTGATAGGTGTCTAACTGGTGTCTCCTGGGCTTTGGTTTCTCAGGGGAGAAAGAGAAGGCACCGTCTCTAGGTTCAAGGGACTCAGATTTTTTTTTTTTAATTGCTAGAGAGATTTACAACAATGTAACTTTCCTAATGTCATTGAATTATACACTTGGAAAGGGTTAAATGGTGAATGTTGTATATATACATATACACACACACACATATTTTAAAGAATTATTGTATTTAACTTTATTTTCAGTTTGGTCAGAGAGTGACAGAGGGAGCGAGAGAGAAAGCATGCAAGAAAGCAAGCCACCAGATCCGGGATTCAAACCACGGTTGGCCACGGTGGGAGTCCAGCACCTTTAACCACCATGCCACCTGGTGGCCTCTATGTTATATGTATTTTACCACAATAAAAAAAAAAAAAAAAGGAATAATGAGGGGCCAGTCAATGGCCTAGTGGTTAAAGCAGTTGGATCCCACATGGCCAGCCACACAGTTTGAAGGTTTGAATCCTGGATCTGGTGGATTGAACAGCACATGTGTGTATATGATTCGATCCCAACAGGAGGCTTAACTGGAGGAGAGGGGACTGTGTTGTGACCATGGCCCATGGAGATACTGTCTCCCTCTCCCCCTTTCTCTCTGTCTCTGGACACAAATAACTATAGCCTTGCTGGTTCCCCAGTCCTCACCACTCCTCATGGACCACAGCCAGCTTCACTCCACCCTGTCTGCCCCCAAAATCACTTGTTGACAAATTCTGCCAAAGTGAACAACTGACAGCCAAGCTCGAGGTGACTGCCTACAGGAAGGGCAGAGACGTCCCCTGGCTGTTCACAGGGGAGGCCCCCGGTACCAGGCCCACAGCTGGCACTAGATCCGTATTACCTGAAATAGTAATCCTAGCAGCTCTGCGAGCCTCAGGGCGCCTCAGCTGGAATCTCATTTTAATCAAGATGCTTTCTTTTCTTTGCACTGAAACCTGCCCTGGATGCAAAGCTTACAATAATAATAGGATACCAGTTACTGTGGGGCCAGCAGGTGGTGTGGTGGTTAAGGGCGCTGGACTCCCACATGGCTCTGGTCAAATTAAAATAAATAAAGTTAAACAAGATTATTCTTTTTTAAAAAAGAATAGCAGCTCCTTTACAGAAAGTGCCATTTATATATTCGTGGCAGCACCAGCATGAGGAATCGATCACAACTGCAAGAGAGATAACGCTCTTTCATCTTGGAGGTGAGGAAGCTGAGGCTGAAGAGACAGGAAGTAACTTTCCTGAGATCACGCAGAGTGGCAAGTTGAGACCCAGGTCCGATCAGAGTGTGCTTTGTTGGCTGCGCGCGGATACTATTTCCCTCCTCCTTTCTTCTTCTTTTTTTTTTTAGAGCGAGTTTTGCTATAGGTCAAGTGCACTCACTGGAGAGACAGAAACCAATAAATTACCCCAGGGGTGGGGAGTAGCCACGCTGCAATCCTTTCTCCTTCATTCTCCTCTTGGGATTCTGGACACACCTGCACATGTGCCTGGCGTGACTTTTAAGCTGCCAGGTCTGGGACTTGATCCATGGTTGACTACATGGGAATCCATCAATGTAACCACTATGCTATCTGCTGGTCCCAAGGGGAACATACTTCTAAAACCAGTTGTTTTCATGAAAAATGTTTTTTCGGGCCGTCAGGTAGTGTAGAGGTTAAGGCACTGGATCCCACATGACTGACTGTGCAGTTTGAGTCCCAGACCCAGTGGCTTGAAAATCATGCTGGGTGCATGTGTGTGTGTGCCCGATATTTCAAGAGGAGAATGGAGGAGAAGGGATTTTGTCCTGGTCATCCCCATCCACCCACTGGGGGGTGACCTCTCACTTTCTGTCTCTCTCCGATGAGTGTGTATATATATATATTACTTTGTATCTATATCTATATATGTCTATAGAAATATATAGATATACTGAAATAAAGTTAAATAAATTATTCTTTAATGTCTATAGGCATATATAAAAAATAAAGATATTTTCTTGCCATGTTGCCCAGACCAGCCCTGAACTCACAGTACTCCTGTCTCAGCCTCCCCATTAGC